ACTTCGGAGAGCATTGCTTTTTGAGTGGTGTAATATCCACCAAGATCAGATCGATAATTTGATACTCAGCATACCTAGGCGTTGTGCGGACTGTATTGCATCGCATGGGAGACGTACAAATATATTAACAATTATACCAACCATGCAATATTGTTTTTTTTGTAAATACTTTTTTTTTTTTTGTAATTTGCTCCAGGGGGAAAAATCGCTAATTTTTTTAATAATATCAAACATATAGCATCTTTTTTTGTTCTTTACCTTTTGTTTAATAAATAAGCTTTACAAATAAGTCAAATTTGTTTTGCTTCTAACTCTTCCTTTGCCTGATTTTGTATTGTCCTTAATTTATGGACATGAGTGTAGAATCTTGATTTTTTTTTGCCAAGATGCAGAAAATCTTTGTAATAAATGATAATTTCCTATTCTTAAAACTGCAAATGAAGCAGACAATTTTAATTTTACAACACTTTATATTAATTCAAGTAAGTGATGACAAAATTCCAATTTATTTATTTATGTGCTTTTATTGTTTCATTTGAACTACTATCAGTTTGATTACTGGTGCTACGGCTAGATCAATGTAACTTGCGAAATTATCTTCTCATGTGACATTTTTTGCAGATTAACCTCTTTTTTTATCATTGCAGTCCTTATTATTATCATTATAAATCATCATCTTTTATTCCCATTATCAATCATCCTTCTTATTCTCAATATCAGTCATTCTGATTACAATAATTTATATTATCTCATTAGTAATCCTTCTTATTACTCTGATTATTAATTATTCTTATTATTATGAATAGCAGTCTTTCTCATTTTTATCCTCAATAATCCCCGTCAGTCTCATTCGCAATCGGTCTCATCATTCTTATTGTTCTCATTATCAATCATGCTCCTTCATCTGTCATTTGCATCCTGGCCATGCTCCTCCTCAGAAGTTTCTATGGGAACTCAGCTTCAAAATTGAAGAATTTGGTTGAATTACATATTTCCATAATTAATTGTGGTGTTTATTTTGCTATTTTATTCTAATTCATAACTGGATATCAGAAATCCTATTATAGAATTAGTTAACTGTGTTACACATTAACTGAACTGCTAAATGTTTTAGTAAACCTTACATCAAGCAAATTATCGATATGTTTTTTATTATATGATAAAGCTTCTTTTTCAGTTATGGCAATCATCAATATATTAATGTTAGAAATGTCTATGTTTTAGTTTTTCCTATATTTTACTTTATGGCCGGTATGGTATGCTGCCACCATATTGTTACACATATTCTGCTTTACACAATTTGTCAAAATACCTATTCTGAGATGTTATTGACGTTCCTTACAGTATAAGCATTCTATTTTATCTCCTATATTATAATAGGGCAATTTTCATTCAATTAATAATTTCAAATTAGTCTTTTTGTGTCATAAAAAGCCTCAAACTCTTGAAGTGTACAGTTTGTACAGCGGATAGGACTCCCTCTAAATATTGACTAGTGATGTCTGCGCAAAGACTTTTACTACAATATTTGTTTGCGCGGCTTTTACATTTTTGTTCCTATTTATAAATTTAAATTTATTCTAATTCTGTAACATTCGTTATTATCAAAAATACATAGAAAGCAGTCACTAAAAAAACTATTTACTAATTATAAACATTAGTATATACATAAACATAAAATTATTTACTGAGATGTATATTGAATATAATATATTAACAATAATGTTCGAATTTATCAAAAACAAAATAATAGCTATGTTTATAAAAGTACATATCAAATCTCTTCTCTTCTATCTTTAAATTTAACCATTCACTATATATTTGATTCAATTTATGCTGTTTCCGCTACTTATCATTGATAAGTCTAAACGTGATCATCTTTCAAACCATTTGTTTGTTTATTTTTCATTGAGCTGAATAACTTGAAACCTTAATCAGAGACTACGCTAAAAATGTGTCGCCAATACCAATTAATGTGCATACTGTAATGAAAATATTACCATACCTGAAAATTGTTTTGTCAATTTACCCTGAACTTTTTCACAATAGGCAAATTTGAAGTTATTATTTAGTTGTTGCACAGCTGTTTTATCTGTTAAATTGTTATCATGATTTACGCATAGTTTTCCGACTTTGGTTTATGTGATTATTCCAAAGCACTCAAGAGCTATTCGCATAAGGCAAGGGATCTTTTCGTACAGAAATTTTAAGGGAACTGGTTAGTATACATATTACGCATGCATAAATGTTCGACTAATTCTAGGCTGTAATTAAGATGACATACATTTAATGCTGCCAAATCAAACGCTCCACATCGCGGTATTTCATTTTCAGGGTATCTCTCTTTTAAATAAGAGCAAAGTAAATTTGTAAAAATTGGCATGGAGTTAGTGTCAATTTCAGTATCTCTTTCCTTGGTTTTACGTAGAAGAAATTTCACTGCATTACTAAGTAACACTCCTGTGGCCGATATATTGATATTTATTATAAAGTATCACCACTTTATTTTACCATGAACAAAGTGAAATGTATCAAGTGGTGTTACGTCGAGCCGCCGAAAAATTTTACAAAATGAATAATTTTGCAAGTTCTTTAAAAACATCATTCATCAATGTGTAAATTTATATGAAATTCAGTACTTTTCAATTTCTGTTAGCAGTATTTCGAAAGAGGATTACTTGTTTCATAGTCTTTAAAATTTTTAATGATTGTTTTCAGTGCCTAGATAACTACCGAATTTTATTTCATAGTTAAACCGCATTAGGTTCATTTTCTAAGCAGGAGCAAAATCTTAAAGTTTACATTTCTTTCTTGCGAGTAACGATTTCCTACAATCGTACAACGTAGTACAGCAGCTTATACTACCATCTGTACCATCAATCGTGAAAATCTGGTATCCCGACCCCATATACATGTGTTTTCCATTTGAAAGAATTAAGTTATAATTATGGTATTATATTATGTTCGTTTACTTACACTATAAACTTTAGATATTCATACGAACTTTATAGCTTACTAGTTACTAAATCAGAAGTTTCTAAACTGTATGGTGAGAACGCTAACGAGGATGTGAAGTTAGGAAATAATGCAGTGATTGAAGCTGTCTGTAATTTTTCTTTATGTTGCTGAATGAGGTAGATATTTGATTTTCTGACAGATATTTTTTTGTCAAGGCTCTCAAAATGCAATGTACCGATATATTCAGCAACCTTGACCATTAGGCTTTAAGGAGATTTTATTTAACCTGATTTGTAAGTAAAACTCTAATTTGCCGAAAAGTCGCTTTCATTTCACGTGAAGTCAACGCCAAAAGGTAACCAGTATTTTATTGTTTACGATGCAATATATACAGTTTTAAATAATTAAAAACGTCATTGTGAGAATGAATTATTAAACAGGAAATGCTTTCACTCGACAGTTTATTCCGATATAATGCATCCCAATTTTGATGATTATACGTTGTTAACGCTTCGCAAGTTTCGTTTCATTATCAAATTTAGGTATAATAATAAGAAAGGAAACTTCGAAGAGAAATTTTTAACAACATGTTTTGCATTTCCTTCCGTTTAATTTCTCAGCTAAAAGTTGCTTTTTGCGACAATTATTGTATGCCTTGGTTCCCAAGATTTCGATCTCTCATATAACCTTTAGTTGTCAAAGGAAGGCAATTAAATTGAAACGTCTAGGCAAAGTTTCTCATGGTATCGTCTTGTTGAACGACAGAAAATAGACCACACCAATCCAAAGCCAAGGTAACAAAGAAACTTCTGCAGAAGTTCAAATAGAAACCCAACCTACACTACAGTGCACCCTATATAAATGGGAACTCACCCTATACTACAGATCTGTCCCCATGTGACTTCAGCGTCTTCAACGAGCTCAAAAAGCATTGGAAAGACAAAGGTTTCAAACGGACCATGAAATCTTGAAAAACTGGTTAAAACAGCAGCCAAAAGTATTTTACGAGCATAACATTCTGTTACTAGTGTCACAATGGGATAAATGTCAAAACATTTGTGGATAAAACTTTTGGATTTCTTTAAATAAATTGTAAGAAATACCCTCTGCCTCTTGTTATTTATTAACTGTATCAAATGTAAATATGCACTTACGAGTATTGATCATAGTGTCTATTATTACATTGTATCACCAGATCATATATAATATATCTTTATATGACGGAATGTCCCTTAACGAAATAATACCATATTAAATTTCTTGCAATTTATGTCATACTTTTCAAAAGATTCCTTATCAAGCAAAGACATCTTGTTCTTTAAAATTGTTCAAGTTATGAATCTTCTTTCTGCACTGATAAAATACATATTGTCATATAATATATTTGTCAATCTGCTAAAAACTAATGGTATAGTAAGTAATCTGATAATAGTTATATATTTACTCTTCCTTTAAATTTCAGTCGATTTATAGTAATTTTTCTTTACGAGCGTAAGGTATAAAAGCTCAGTTAAGACATTATGACTTTCAATTTTATGAATGTTTGATAGAACTTTATGGACTCCATGTACAGTAGACTTTAAGAACTTTATTTTTAAAGCAATTATATTTTATTTTTAGCTATTTGGTCCTCTTCCGTGTAAATATGTTTAGACGTTTTTACTTTAAAATTATAAACTTCAATATGAAGAATGTTACTGAATAATTATTATTTAAAATTAAAATCTAGTTTATAATGAATGTAAGACAATACTTGTTAACCGTTAGTAAACGTTAAGTGTCATCATTCAATTTCAACTGATCTGAGCTGATATTCTTGAAATAAAATTAAGATTTTATCTTTTTAAAATTATCTATCATATTATCGCTGAAATAGATAAAGCTTAAATCCAAAAATCCTTTGATAATCAAACTGAGCTAAATAATTTCGATCAAACCCGTTTTATTTTAATTATGACATAATCACCGGGAAGCTATCTAGACGTGAATTAAATTTTATTACAGAAGATATATCGACCGATACTTTGTAATAAAGCACTTACCGAAAGCATGCTTTCGGACATCTGCTGCTCTTTGATCGTCGTATGTTTCATTATTAGGAGGATAACGATATCCTCTGGCATCAATATGATGGTGCTCCTCGTTGTCTGAGCTGCTGTAATCCTGCCATTCTTGGCTACGGTGGCGCCTCACTCGAGAGCCTTGTCTGTTGAGCCGGCTGCTTTTGGCCAGACCGTCCATGCAGTTGCTGTAAGAGAATTAGATCTTCAGAGAATGCTTTTGCACAAATATTTTTATTAGGAAAGCAAACACTCTTTGTCCACTGCTAAGATATTTTTTGTTACAGGGCACATATTAATAATTTCTTAGCCTTCAGCAAGATAAAAAATAAAAGGACAACACTTTTGTAATCAATACTGTGTATTCTTTCTCATATTTATTCCATCTCTCTAGTAAAAATACTTATACCTAAGTTTGGATTTAATCATCTTGAAAGTGAGATACTGAAATAATTTAACTGAATGTACATAATGTACGAAGTGTGCTTACAGCTAATGAACTGGTTGACACACTTTAGGGTTACTGAACTGAGCAAGATGTTTAGTGAAAAATGAACAAAAATTATGCTTTTATAAATCCATATTTTCAAAAATGATTATACCAGTAAGAATCCTGAAAATTGCGTTTCTAGAGAAAGCCATCCCTTGAAATTACAGGTTTTCAGATTTTGTATTTTTTAAAAATTCATTGCGGTTGAAAAATTAATCTTCTATCGCACAGGTTCTCTACCAGGTTGATTTCTCTCTAGAGGAAAGTTCCATAGTTTTAGGAGGAAAATGTGGTCAACTCTTTATTTGCCTGTTAAATATTTGATTTTAATTTATGAATATAAAACTACTTTTATACAAGTTTGAATATTTACGAACATTTTCTAAACGTTTTGTTGCCTTAGGTATAAAATACGTTAACATGAAAATCTAATTAAATATATCTATATATATCTCTATCTCTCTATCTATCTATCTCTATCTCTCTATCTATCTCTATCTATCTCTATCTATCTCTATCTCTATCTCTCTATCTCTATCTATCTCTATCTCTATCTATCTATCTCTATCTATCTATCTCTATCTATCTATCTCTATCTATCTATCTATCTCTATCTATCTCTATCTATCTATCTATCTATCTCTATCTATCTATCTATATCTATCTATCTCTATCTATCTATCTCTCTATCTATCTCTATCTATCTATCTCTCTATCTCTCTATCTATCTCTCTATCTATCTCTCTATCTATCTCTCTATCTATCTCTCTATCTATCTATCTATCTATCTATCTATATATATATATATATATGTTTTTCGAGTTTTGGAAAGGAAGGAGGTAATGATCTTCTAGCAATGGTAAAAGGAGTGAATGGGATAAAAAAAGTTGTTCTATAAAATACCTTTTTGACCATATTAAAGTTTTAGCTTTAATGGAAAGGAATATAGGAATTAGCTTTCAACATTCTTTAACGATAGCCATATATTTCTCTAAAATTAACATGTACTTTTCATTATTATCATTCTTCTCAACATACACTCTCCATTCTCTAAAATTAACATTTACCTTTCATTATACAATCTTCATTATTAAATTTTCATCAAAAATTATAGTACTGAAATTATTTAATTATTCAAAATCTAGAAATGGTCTCAGAAAGACATTTTTTCAATACGTCGTTAACTGAATATTCTTTTTGTAACACATGGTGAAATATCGAGGGAATGTTTCAAAATACAGGGGAATCTAGTTCATATAAAATATTATTATATTGTTGTATGTTTTTATTTCTGACATCAGGTGTTACGTTTTTTTCTTTATTCACGTTCGTACGGGGCTCGTGTGGAGTGAATAACGACGACACTACTTGATGAAATATCCGAACACACTTTATTTACCAATACTAATCAGGACAGCTCCAAAACACTTTTACAGTCGGCGACGATCTACTATAAACACGCTGGAACAATCAGCGACACAGCTTTCACACTGTCAGGAATAACGGTGGAAACAGCTTCACTGAAAAGCCCCAGAGTACAGTTCCCGACTCTGCTCGGTCGTTCTCGGAACTCCACGTACTCTCGAGACTTTCCACGCAACAACGCGCGATGCAGTCGACGACACACGATCACAGCTCCCGACTCTTCGGTTCAGTCGTTCCCGGAGCTTAACACGCTCTCTCGACGATGCACTAACCGCGATACACTAAGAGACTCCTTCGATGCACTCGACGACCCCCTCGGCACTCTCTGGCCGGCTGTCAATTCGATCGACTCCGCACGGACTGACTAACTCGAGACTAACTATCTCGCCTTCTCGACGAGGCACACACACTAACTGACTGCGGACCAGCAGGATTTATGTAGCTTTTGCCTTGTTTTTGAGAACATTCTGGGCTAAACCGGTAAGAATTCGTTCCAGAAGTTTCTCCATTCGTCCATGGCATAACGCCAATTTTGTCGCCAAATATCGCCAAATGAGCAATTTCTCTCCCTCCTTGCTATTTTATGGCAATCCTAAAACTGCTTTGCGGGGAAGCCATCTTACCGCGCCTGTACATTTCGTAACAATATATTATTTCGAAAGGTAAGAGTTTGTTTATGTTGCTGATCACACATAACAGCTTCATTTCTTGGAGTACACTTTCGTCAAAATTCATAATTACGAAAAAGGTGAACATTAGATTTCGAAATGCATTTACTACATTTCGAAAAGCACTAATATTCATTTTTGCCTTGCTAACTGATTATTCTTAGATTTCAATATTTTCTGCGTTTTAATTTTGTTGGAAGTGAAGAATCTAAGAACTGATAAGCGAATAATCGCTTGAGTTCGGTGACAAGAAACAACAAGATAGATGGGTAACTAACCCTTTATTATTCCAATAAGATTTAACAAAACTCCGCCTGGGAAAGCAAAGCCCGCACTTGGACTTGAACTTAAAAGACTAAGAATTAAACTAAAACTAAGATTAACTAAAGAAGTATAGCCGAAGCTATCAAGGTTCAAATCGAGTTGGCCCCTTGACTTATTTGACTACGAAGCTTAGCAAGGGCCTGAGTTCGGCCGAGCGTAATAACAGCTTTGAAAGAGAGAGTGGACAAAAAGGCAGACGCGCATAAATCAGAAACTCTGATTCTCTCTGACTCCGTAAGTAACTTCGTGGTTTCAATACCGCTCCTCCTCATTAAATATTCAGCAAGATTCCAAAACTACGTTCTGGCCGGAAGTAGTAAGTTGAAGTTAAGAATTTGACAGGAAAGGAACTTTAACTTCAAAGTTAACTGTTAATAAAATTAACATAATCCTTACAAAGTATTTAAAATATTTAATTGAGCATACAATGTAAGCAGATTAAGAGCTGAATGATTTGAATATTCATATTACTTTGCGAATTAATTTATCAGTCATAAACAATATAAATGCTTTTAAATTAATGTATCAAAAACACAATTTACATTTAAAGGATTTATAATGCAAATGGAAAATTTAAACATATTTCGAAGTCAAAATATGTAAATCGTATTTAAGAGACACGAATTCACCGCTTCTGTCCTCATACAAAAAGAATATGAAGCGTTTATCGAAAATTTCAAAATTTAATTTTAAGCATTAATACGCCGTAAGCAGGTTTCACTTTAAAAGACAGATGCCAATTGTAAAGTATCGAAAAATAATTTTAATTTCAAAGGGATAACGTATATGTACGGAATATAGTACATGGACGTGCGTAAATACTTCAGAAAGGTATCCTTGTGACTCCCTTTTGTATATTTTCCCTTGAAGAATGTGAAATATTTCAATATATTGCCATCAAGGCACTCGATATACGTACTTCAATATCATATGCATTTCCTTGAAAAGCATATTTGTATTCAATAAGTTCTCGGAGCTTATATGAATAAATAGTATGTTCAATACATACTATATTTCATATTTATTACATAATAAAACGGAAGGAGCAAAGCCTTTTTTTTAATCCGATATTATAACGAATATTTGAGCTATACATTTCATAGTAAACTATAAACTACTAGTTATCTGAATAGATGCAATTCGGTGAAAAGTATTGACTATATGCGTAAAGATATATGTATGCTCAGATTAAGCACTATGCTTTTCGCCAGACCATCTGCTAAGATTTTTTGAAATATATTATTTAGTTTCAACTTGTCCTAGAATTGTATGCAGTATGTTATTTATTTTCATATCTGAGTTTCATATTATGGATTATTTTGCGTGCAAGTTGACCTGCATCATTCTCCTAAGCTGAAACAAATAAATTTGAAATTAAAATTTGAGTCTGGAAATCTGAAAAACTGAAAACCAAATAAAATGAAACAGATTCGCCAAGTTTGTACACCAATAATTTCTTTGTGATAATGTGAAAAAGTATATACGGTTTCTAATTTTTGAGAAATTATGTTAACAATGAAATGTAACTGTCACGGTTATGTACCAATGATAGAAGCCTTATGTTTCCAGGACTTCTTTTTATTTTGAACATATACAGTCGCCTCGTGCACCACAGGTGTACAACACGGGGATTACAAAAGTAAGTAAACTAAACATTAAATATTGCATTCAGAAATAAAACAGAGAACATCAGTGTAGCCAAGTCAGGCCAAACTTGCGTTCTGGAAGCATAATCTAGAGGACCATCGAATGTAGGGCAAAAAAAAAAAAAAAAAAATGTTCCACATCTTGAGGTACTTTTTTTAACACTCACACAAACTATTTGATCTTAGATTAAAACGAAACAAGTAACTTGCAAATTTACTGTGACCTGATAAAAAATGAGATACTCTAAAATAATAAAGTGGAAAGACTAGGAATGGAGCCTATGGTAAATATAAGGAAATAAGTTTTTGGTGCCCTCAGCATTTAAAGATGAAATATATTCCTCATACCACTTAGCTAAAAGCTTCTTATAATGAAAGGTCTTTTTTTTAATGACTCTTTGGAGTACTAATATTGATATTTATGGGTAAATTTATACAGCTCTTTTATTTTCATGGAATCCATGATACCCGCGCGCATAAGCAAAACGGATATCAGTTCCCCTACTTTTAAGCGAACTGACAGCTGACAGACTTTCGATTGCTGATTTGTCGTTGCTTGTAATACTGTCCAAAAGGCGTGGAGAAGAAGGCGAATCAGAACATACAAGGTACCTTGAGGATGCTGTACTATTATC